CAATAACTGATGATACCAGGTGTTTGCGAAAAGGTGAGCGTATCCTCCGACCGGTGGCACACGTCACAAACACATGCAAAGTCAAGTCAAATGTTCACCTGAACAAACTCGCGAGCACATTGTACAAGTGAAAATAGGGAATTGCATCAGACATAATTTTGGTCACTGATGCGTCATTGAATACGTATGATCGGTTGTATCTCAAAATTAGTGGGGGCGGTCGGGTAGCCTAGTGGTTAAAGCGTTCGCTCGTCACGCCGAAGACCCGGGTTCGATTCCCGATATGGGTACAATGTGTGAAGCCCATTTCTGGTGTCCCCCGCCGTGATATTGCTGGAATATTGCTAAAAGCGGCGTAAAACCATACTCACTCACTCACTCACTCACTCACTCAAAAGTAGTGAAAGGGGGACACAACTGGCTGGAGCTCCTGGAATATTGCTCGACATACAGGGAAAGTTGACTTTTGGAAAGTTGAAGTCAACCCTCTTGTCATACAGTCTTGTGGATACTTTACTGTCATTCAAGTATTTAATACTTCTGCGCTTTATTATAGGACGTTCATGTCATGATGCAATATTATATAGAGATATTCAAATAAAAAATGCAGATGTTCTTTCTATATGGACAGGCGTTGGAAAGTGGTATCGTGGATTAGCGGGTGATGTAATCATAAGGTGGTATTATATGATACTTGCCAATTTTAAATATGACCAGGAGAATAAAGTCGATGGACAGATTTACAGGCAAGCCTGAACATCAGAAGGATGTGGTGAACGAGTGACAGTACATAGCATGTGACAAGACACACAGTCAGTAGTAGTGTGACACCAACATGTGTCATACGGGATGGTCATCGGGGTCACATGCCCAACAGTACAGTACAAGAAGAGTGAGTGAGCGAGTGAGTTTGGTTTTACGCCGCTTTTAGCAATATTCCAACAATATCACGGCGGGGGACAACAGAAATTGGCTTCACACATTGTACCCATGTCGGGATTCGAACCCGGGTCTTCGGTGTGACGAGCGAACGCTTTAACCACTAGGCTACCCGACCGCCCCCAGTACAAGAAGAATATGAATAATAATAATCATCATCATCATCATCATAATAATAATATATCCTCAGCACAAGCTTATAGGGGGCAATTGAATCTCTCTCTCACACACACACACACACACACACACACACACACACACACACACACACACACACACAAATTAAAAAATTATGATGGTCTCGGTGGTGAAGATATTACTTAAATGTGTATTTTTTATATAAAAAACGTATATGTAGTAGTAGTAGTAGTAGTAGTAGTAGTAGTAGTATCAGTTTATATGTACTTAACAGTTATACAGTGTAGTTCATATAGCAATATATGTAAAAAGATTAACTTTGATATATTTCAAACCGACTCAATTTCTATAGTCGTCCTGACTCATAAGCACATGGGACAGGAGGCATCACGTTCAGGAAGCTGCCGACACACACAAAGACCATTTTGAATTCTCATTAGATGACTGATGTGTTTAAAGAGTTGTTGGTGTCACTGCTGACCGAAATTCAAATGATCTTTGACAAGTAATTTCAAAATATGCCACATCAAGTACGATAGGTTAACATACAGCAGTTAAAGCTATTATCTGTACCGCGAAAATAGGTGACTTTAAAGGAGTGTTCCTTGCAGTGAATCCCTGTACAAACGCCATGAATATAACATAGACATAGTGACATAGTTTATTAAAGTGTCACATGGCATGAAACAATAACAATACATCATATTAAATTTATCATACCATCCAGCCTAGCTAGGCTTATGAGACACTATTTTAAAACAGATATACACAAGTAAGATCATACCTAATAGAAAAATAAAATAGATTAAAATGTATTAAAATATACAGATATCAATCGACTAAGACATATATTATGTAAAACGCTGTCTCCTGTTAAACATTTCATTAATAGTTGATACTAAAAGTTTGATTAACGAGGCGTCAGAGCTTGACATGACGTCAGTTAACACAGTAAAAGTCTTATCAGTTAACATAGTAAAAGTCTTATCAGATGATTTCAAACCTAAGATCATCATAAAAGCTACAATAGAAAAGAAAATGAACTTCAGATTCTAGATGATTACAAAAAGGGCACAGTCTCTCATTAAGTGGCGTGGGATAACATCCCTACAATCAGCACAAACCTACTTATCCAGTTCCCGTTCCACTCCCCCAGCCACCCCATGATCCAGAAGGCACTCTCCATATGGTCGTGACAGTAAGAAGGTCGGACTAACATTTAATCTATGAAATCTTATATTACACAATATCCTTCTTGACTCTAAAAAAATATTCCCCATGCTAATTTTTGGAATAGAGCGAGCAAGAGCTGGCTAACCTGCTTTTGTATGCGTTTTTTTTTCTTGAAATAAATATATTCCAGTCTTGGTGCAGGACAATAAGAAGGTGTGATAGTGTGCTTTATACCACACCAGAGGTGAGGTGAAATGGGGTTTAACGTCGCGTCCAAGATTATTGCACTTATATAGCGACGTGCATGCACGTGTGTGTGTGTGTGTGTGTGTGTGTGTGTGTGTGTCTGCTTGTACTAGTCCAGACTGATGCTGATTTATAGTGCTAGCTCACTGAGATACCATGCCACGGTTTAACATGAATACCCTACTCAGACAGCATACTGACTCCAAGCCGACCAGTCCTTGTTTTAGCCTCTTAATGCCGATCGCCAGACAGGGTAACAACAAGTACCATCTCTTAATGTCTTTTGGTATGCCGCGGCCGGGGATCGAACCCCGGACCTTCCGCTCTCCGGGTGGACGCTCTACCACTAGACCACAGAGGCGGTCCTATACCACACATTCAATAATCCAGCACTTTAGAATGGACTTCACACATGGGTAGAATCGAACCCGGAGTTTTCCTGACGAGCAAACACCTTAACAACTACACTACCCAACTGTCTCATATAGTCTTTTGATACCTCGAAATATAGACTTCTAATTACATAGAAATACAATTTTATCCTGGAAGTCCCAACTTTGTCTATTTAAACACGCACTTCCCACTGATGACTGATTCAATATGTTATATTAAACACAAACAAAATTTGTCTCAGTATGTGAATTAAAAAGTCAATATCACCATAACCCTTTCCTTCGCGTATTCAAAATATTTCTATTCTCTAATGTATAGATCGCAAATAAGGTTCGTCACAGGTTCAATAAATAACAGATGAACACATTATAACCACTGTGTTCTTCTCTATAATGGATGAACATTGTATCCGTTATGTTCATCTCTATAATGGATGAACATTGTATCCGTTATGTTCATCTCTATAATGGATGAACATTGTATCCGTTATGTTCTTCTCTATAATGGATGAACATTGTATCCGTTATGTTCTTCTCTATAATGGATGAACATTGTATCCGTTATGTTCATCTCTAAAGATGAACTTATTTCCAAGAAAGGCTTCTGACGCAGGATTCTGAATCAATATTTGCTCTTATTCCCTCTTGTATGAGATTTTGTGTGGTATACGAACTTATTCGATCATATATGTGTCATGTTTTGTGTGAGACATTGGCATGATATTTTGTATGATAAATGGACTTATTTGCTCATATACATCGTGTTTGGTGTATATGGACTTCTTATCTTTACATGTATAACGTATATCTCCCATGAAAATATACAAATGTGAAGTTTGAAATGACATCGCTTGACAAGGTAGACACAATTTTATGGATTACAACCTTTCTAATACATCGCTTGGTCTTCGTGCCACTTCTACAGGTCTCATTGCCGCTGTATATCCCAGATTAATCCCAACACACGGTAAATGAGATCGCGGAGGAAAAGGTTTTAAGCTGAGAAGGGTGTGTCAGATCATTCACGTTTTAACGCTGTCAGTCGCCTGCAGCATCACTGAGGCGGTGGAGCACAGCCATGAATGGAGGGCGGAGACTGTCTAAGTTGAAACTATTGATCTCGTATCGATCTGCACTGATAGCTCGCGGGGAGTAATCAAACAAGTGTTAAATCAGCCCCATGATATTTCATATTAGGTGTGGACGTTACATTTGCTAATGTCCATTGTAAATGTTAAAATATTTGCTGATATATTTTATTGATTACTTTGTTGTATCTCGATATATGTTATATATATTATGATAAAACATCGTCCTGGTTTGAAATGCTGAGTCAGCGAACGTAACACAAGTTCATCAGGTGTTATCAGGTTTTACGGAAGTTAATTTAATTATTGTGAATAGGCAGACAACGGATCGGAGTATATTCTCCTTCATCAGATGCATGCTGATGTATCTACTCCTTTATCACATGTGTGATGAATGATGAAGTAAGAATTGTCCGCAATAAAAAAGGGGATGTATACATACTACTTTTTTTTACACAACAAGTTCTGAACTTTATCAACGTTAACCTTCGTGATGCATAATTACAAACATATTTATGAAATGGTTTATTAATATAATTTTAATAAAAATAAAAATAATAATATCAAGCTTATCAAACGTATCTGAAAGGTAACCAATCAGCAATATATTTAATTTGCAATTTCTTTCCATATTAAAATGTTTTGTTGTTGTTTTTGTCAAACAATGAAATGAGCTAGCATTAAATGTTTCTCCATTGTTGTCATGGTGATAGTCATCACCAATGATAAATTTATATATATATATATACCTAATGGAAATGTTCCTTACGAATGGGTGAGATGGTTAATATTTTATTAAATAAATACACGGTACATTTCATTTAGACTCATAAGGTAAAACTGTTCATTTTTGGGGGGTAAACAAACAATGAACACAGAAAGACAAAAGTTGCGACATAAAACATAATATTGTAATGATCATATAGTTTTGTTTACAACTATATATGCAAATACAGACATGTTTCTATGTCCTGAAAAAATATCAAAACATGAAACATGATTATAAACATAAGTTTATACTTACAAAAATCTTATCGTGACTACGATTGAAGAATGGGAAAGGGACTCCGATTTTGATAGATCCCGACCCCCCGTCATCGCTGTCATCTGTCAGATTGTCCCCGGCACTGGCATTGAAGGGGTAAAAGTCAGAGAGGGGTAGGGCTCCCACCCCTGCGCTGAACACCAGAACCCCCGAGACGATGAAAATCACATACAGCACTATCCCAGTACGACTGAAGCCTGTTCTCCGGACATTTGAACACATTATACTCACAAGATGGCATGAAAAGACAGAAAGTCGACACGAATTTACATCTTGAATTGGTTCTATGTTTTCTCATGTCGACTGGTTTGAAAAAATATATCCTTCGTCTTCGGACGGTGTCGCTGTTCGTCAGAGACACGGGACGATCGAGACATCAGGCTCCTGTCCTCTGTCTATCCGATAGAGAGAAGGAGGAATGACTAGGGTTCTCATACACACTTCTTGTGCCGCAAACTGTCTTGTCCTCGCTATACATCCGTTATTCCCGTGCCAATACAAGCGATCATTGGTGAAAAGGCCTATTCAAGCGCCTATTCAAGCGCCTTTTGCTATTCCACATTCGTAGCCGGTTGAATATGGGTCAGCGCCTATGTTGGGTTCCGTGCTCTGTTGGGTGTGGTCACTTCGCCTGCGCCCCCAGGGCATCAGCATGGTCAGGAAAGTAACTCGGTGGGGTGGGGCAAGTATACCCGAGCTAACTGTAAAATTTCGTGAAAATCCGTGGCCCCGATCGCGAGATATTCACTGTTATTTACCACACAAGCGAGAAGGGTTCCCCATCTAACTTGTGCTAGTGCACGCATTGCCGTGACGTCATTGTGTTTGTGAAATCTACACAGTGAGAGCTTATTTGGGTAGCACGTGTCAAGGGCGAGAACTCTTGTCACTCCGCTTGGCATCGTGTGTGTGGTTTATGTGTCGAACACTTACACTCGGCGACTGAAGATGGATAGTCTCAAAGTCGGGCCATAACTACTCGCAAAATAAACGACGTTCAACAAAAGGGTTGATATTTGTAATAGGTACATATTTCTCAGAGCATTCATACGGTTTGACGCTGACAAATATTTGTGGACAAAGGGATCGCTTTTTGTGAATCAGGCTAAAAACATATCAGTAAAGTCAAAGTTATTAAATCCAACTATCCAACTACGTGGGTATGTACTATATGTGCAGATACTGATTTGAAAAAAGGTAAAACTTTGTCCACATATGAATATGGATGTTCAAATTCATACTTATAAAATATCCGAAAATCAATAGATGAACAATAGTGTTCTCACGTGCTTGCTATGATTGAAAGAGAAATAAAAAACATCCCAACTTTTCGGTTTGTATTATTTGCACACGGGCCTTATCTTAGTTTATTTACAAAACGACATTTGAGCTTCCGCCAATCAAAATCGTTTTGACTTCGTGACCAAATACATTCTGAAGTATTAATTAAGTATTTTAATGCAAATGTGTTCACCTTGCTAACTCTTAGAGATACATACCTAAACCGTTTCTGTAAAAAATATATTTGTATGCATTAAAGAATATCTATTAAAATCCATTATTATTTTTTATTTACACCTGTATAAAATTTAATAAATATAATTGGTTTACATAAGTATGAGATCATAAACATATTTGTTTAACATAGGTATGAGATTATAAACATAATTAGCTTACATAAGTATGATATAATAAACATAAATTTTTTACATAAATATGATAATACCATATTTGAGATTGGTTCACATGATTATCAGAGGTATCATATCGTAAAAAGATACACATACACACTGATATACACAGATAAAATAAATATAATTGTTTACATAAGTATGAGATCATAATCATATTGTCTTACATAAGTATGAGATCATAAACATAATTTTTTTACATAAATATGATAATACCATATTTGAGATTGGTTCACATGATTATTATAGGATCATATCGTAAAAAGATACACATACACACTGATATACACAGATAAAATAAATATAATTGTTTACATAAGTATGAGATCATAATCATATTGTCTTACATAAGTATGAGATCATAAACATAATTTATTTACATAAATATGATAATACCATATTTGAGATTGGTTCACATGATTATTATAGGATCATATCGTAAAAAGATACACATACACACTGATATACACAGATAAAATAAATATAATTGTTTACATAAGTATGAGATCATAATCATATTGTCTTACATAAGTATGAGATCATAAACATAATTTTTTTACATAAATATGATAATACCATATTTGAGATTGGTTCACATGATTATTATAGGATCATATCGTAAAAAGATACACACACACATTGATTTACACAGAAGCTTGACATGTAAAGGTCACGAGTAGCATTGACTTACAAATGTATTTTAGGGCCTGACTAGAATGGGTTTACCATAACGAGACTCCGCTACCTATGTATCAGAGTGCTTGAGTTCATGGTTGAGGTCCTGTGCCGCTTGTAACCAAATCAATAATAAAGCGACAAAAACCTTTCCATATCCAATAGAAATCTCTGCATAAAGCAGAGTCTACAATACGATTCCGACTATGACATGAGCATGTGTTTATGAATCACTATCAAATAGTGATGATACCAGTGTTCGCGAAAAGGTAAACGTAGTCTGCCCCACCGGTAGCACCCGTCACAAACACATGCAAAGGCAAGTCAAATATCCACTTGAAAAATACGAAAACATATGGTACAAGTCAAAATTGGGAATAGCATCGGACATTATTCTTGTAATAAGAATAGGCTTCACACACTGTACATAGGGTAGCAATTGAACCAGAGCAAAGCTTAAACCACTTGACATTTACAAACCTCTGACTTGCCTAATGAGACGATAACCATTCATTTATATCTACAAGAAACACGCAAGAACTGAACGAAATGTACGCATACACACCTTCAGCAAAAGTGTGCACATGTGTATTCTCAATATGAACATCATCGTCGCACACAGCTCATCGTCACCGTCGTCATCGTCGTTGCCAACATCGCTAGTCGTTCCTGGGTGAGCTCCATCGTAATGTCCTGCTGATATATAAATGGAGATACGAAGCTAGCAAAGGCCCTAGTCATCTGTTGGAGACATGTAAAGTTCCTTCCTGGTTCGACCAGTGTTCGTCAAGTGTGGAGTCCTGCTTGGTTTTGGTACCGCGACTGTACAATGTAAATAATTTGGATGGCGAAAGGGTGTGTCTGTGTAATTCAAGCAGGATGCACAATTGTACAGGTAGAATAAACAGTCCTTACAATAAACTTAAATAACGCAGGAAAAGAGTTTAGAAAAACGAGATGTATAAACAAATGAGAACGTGACTGACATACTTCCCTATGTGGCAAGTGATGCCTATTGAGTAATTAAAGCCTGTTATTTAGAATAAAAATGCTATCAGATGTACAGAAACACCTGGGACATTCAAATCTGGAAAAATATTCGTGTTTTAGGATATGCAGTCGAAAAAAGTGTGTTTGGGTAACGTTTATGTGTCAATATTGGCACGGGAGGGATGCTTGAGGGGTGCACATATGTGCATGCAGTTGTCAGTGCGCCGAATGATGAACGAGAGAAAGTGGGTGTGGCATGTGACGTCCACGCCGTGCCCATGTGGACAGGTAGACACATGAATGAACTGTAGTAATGATGGTGGACGACATGGTGGGTGTTTGATGTGTACAGGTAGATATGGATTGATGTGTACAGGTAGATATGGATGGATGTATACAGGTAGATATGGATTGATGTGTACAGGTAGATATGGATGGAGGTGTACAGTTAGATATGGATGGATGTATACAGGTAGATATGGATGGATGGGTACAGGTAGATAGGGATGTGTACAGGTATATATAGATGGATGTATACAGGTAGATATGGATGGATGGGTACAGGTAGATAGGGATGTGTACAGGTAGATATGGATTGATGTGTACGGGTAGATATGGATGATGGATGTGTACAGGTAGATATGGATGGATGTGTACAGGTAGATATGAATGAAGGTGTACAGGTAGATATGGATGGATGTATACAGGTAGATATGGATGGATACGTGCAGGTAGATATGGATGATGGATGTGTACAGGTAGATATGGATGGATGTGTACAGGTAGATATGGATGAAGGTGCACAGGTAGATACGGATAGATGTTTACAGGTAGATATGGATAGATATGTACAGGTAGATATAGATGGATCTGTACAGGTAGATACGGATAGATGTTTACAGGTAGATGTGGATAGATGTGTACAGGTAGATATGGATGTATAGGTACAGGTAGATATGGATGAAGGTATAAAGGTAGATATGGATTGATGTGTACAGGTAGATGTGGATAGATGTTTACGGGAAGATGTTGATAGATGTATACAGGTAGATATGGATTGATGTATACAGGTAGATATGGATGGATGTATACAGGTAGATATGGATTGATGTGTACAGGTAGATATGGATTGATGTATACAGGTAGATATGGATTGATGTATACAGGTAGATATGGATGAAGGTGTACAGATAGATATGGATAGATGTTTACAGGAAGATATGGATGGATGTATAAAGGTAGATATGGATTGATGCGTACAGGTAGATATGGAATTATGTGTACAGGTAAATATGGATAGATGTATACAGGTAGATATGGATGGATGTATACAGGTAGATATGGATTGATGCGTACAGGTAGATATGGATAGATGTTTTCAGGAAGATATGGATGGATGTGTACATGTAGATATGGATAGATGTTTACAGGAATATGTGGATAGATGTGTACGGGTAGATATGGATTGATGTGTACAGGTAGATATGGATGAATGTGTACATGTAGATATGGATTGATGTGTACAGGAAGATGTGGATGATGTATACAGGTAGATATGGATTGATGTATACAGGTAGATATGGATGTGTATAGAGGTAGATATGGATGGATGTATACAGGTAGATATGGATTGGTGTATACAGGTAGATATGGATAGATGTGTACAGGTAGATATGGATTGATGTGTACAGGTAGATATGGATGATGTATACAGGTAGATATGGATAGATGTTTACAGGAAGATATGGATGGATGTGTACATGTAGATATGGATTGATGTGTACAGGTAGTTATGGATGAAGGTGTACATGTAGATATGGATGGATGTATACAGGTAGATATGGATAGATATTTACAGGAAGATATGGATGGATGTATACAGGTAGATATGGATTGATGTGTACAGGTAGATATGGATGGATGTGTACATGTAGACATGGATAGATGTTTACAGGAAGATGTGGATTGATGTGTACAGGAAGATATGGATGATGTATACAGGTAGATATGGATGGATGTATACAGGTAGATATGGATAGATGTATACAGGTAGATATGGATTGATGTGTACAGGTAGATATGGATTGATGTGTACAGGTAGATTTGGATGAAGGTGTAAATGTAGATACGGATGGATGTTTACAGGTAGATATGGATAGATATTTACAGGAAGATATGGATGGATTTATACAGGTAGATATGGATGGATATATACAGGTATATATGGATGGATGTGTACATGTAGATATGGATAGATGTTTACAGGAAGATGTGGATGGATGTATACAGGTAGATATGGATGGATGTTTACAGGAAGATATGGATTGATGTATACAGGTATATATGGATGGATGTATACAGGTAGATATGGATTGGTGTGTACAGGTAGATATGGATTGATGTGTACAGGTAGATATAGAAGGGTAGATATGGATACTATATATAGATGTTTACAGGAAGATATGTATGGATGTA